ATTGCTTATTTAGTTTTGTAAATTAATGAACTTAAAATTTACTCGTACTTGTTATGTTAGGATAAAAATATTTAATGATAATGTTAATTCTTAACCGCAAAAGTTTTACGAATTTGTTAATGTAAATCCCAAACTGTGCCCTGTTTACCAAATTTTAATACCTATGTTGTTATCGCTAGCTAAATTTGTCCTTACTTCACTCATTTTGAATACCTTCCATTACAGTAATTCAGGAGCGGTACAGAAATTCTCATTACAGTAATTCATTCATTATTTCATAATGATTAGAGCACTAACTAGATCGAGCAAATAATGAACTCGGACATTATGTGGAACTGCTGTTAATCATTGTGCTCATAACTTCTATATTGAAACTTTTGGCATCTTAGATCTATTAAATATACAAACGTTTTAGAATATTTCACGGCGATAATATCTGGACGTAAGTAACAAAGACAAAAATAAATAATAGTATTGAACATGATCCATAATCGTTCTGTTTAAAGACAGCCCCATACAGACCAGAAGGTTTAAAAGAGCTTGAAATGGACAGCGAACGTCTGACGAAAGCTTTCAGTTTCAAATTATAGTTCCCTTGAAAATATTTACAACTCTTACATTCACATGTGCTTCCAAAATGTCACTGTTTTTTGTCATAGCTTTTAGCATGATATTACATTTCAGTTTTTTAACACAAAACCAAATCAAATTTGAATAAATTTTTAAATTCATAACGAAGTTTCCTTGAAGTTGCATACTATAGGATTAAAATTATAATTTCTTTCTGAAACCGGTTCGATTCTGAATATATATGTTTGTTGTACTGAATTTTAATACATGGCTATATTTGTCAAGTTAAAAACCTATGATGAATGAACGAGTACGTTTCTACAAGCATAATCTCCACCATGCTACTGTCAGAACCTCTTTTATAAATCAGAAGGTTTAGCAATTTTGTTGAATTATGTAAAGTAATTGCTTATAAATCAAAACATTCCTCTAACATTATTCTATTACACATCCAAAATTTTCTATTACCTCTTTGTCTCTCGTTCCATCCTTATACGTCGCAACACATCAGCTGTTAGAAATCAGATAGCTATTTTCTTATCAGTTGCCTTTTTAAAATGGCGAAATCGTTGTTTGCGTAGCGTTAATGGCTGTATCAATACTTTAAATCAAAACTGAGGCAGAGTTTATAATTAAGCAGTATCATTCAGAAAGCAACGACATTATTTAGGAGACAACAGTTTGGTGACATCCCCTAATAACACATGAGAAATCACGAAAAGGAACTTCGCTAATGCGATCCAGACCATTGTTTCTGCTATCATTTTCTCTTCATCATGCCAAGCCTCGTAGCTTACATTTAAAGCATATATCTTTATTAGCACATGAAGTATAATCGAAGCTATAAATTTATACATACGTTTCACGAAATGTGATGAAAGTTTGTTTCCAAATCAAGGCTGAGGTTTCGGAATATATCTGTTAAATACAATGTTTATGTCTAATAGTTGAAACTATGTTGTGGTTATTTACTGATCTTTCATAACAAGAACGAAAGACACCCAGTGAGCATAAAATAGAGGGGTTGCAATTAATTCGATAAAAAAAATAATAGAAATGCTCTTGAAGGAGGAGGAGAAAAGGTTTTAGCAATACTGTGGTAAATTAAAGGGAAAATTAAGCTGAAATAGGATCTTTCGCTATTCCTTTATTAAACCTGTGAAAACAGGTTTGTTTCATTAATTAAAAATAAAGGTCTATACTAGAAGCTGAAATAGAATACCTGAATTAGTTAATAAATTGATTAATTAATAATAAATAAAATAAGAATAATGTTCAAGGAATTATATAGCTTCCAAAAAAGTGATAAAATATTATTTGCATTGCGGAATTAAAAAGCAACAACACTTCTTCTAGCAATGGAAATAGTTGTGCAAAGCATGCTTTATTAAACAAAGAGACGTTCAGTCATTCCCTTAAAATAAGCCCTCTCTTTCTTCTTATGAGTTCCGCTGAAAATGTCGTTCACAGAGGAAACACAAAACGAAACTTAAAAACTGTCAGCTTTAAACATTTGTGCTCTTGTTTACAGACATTATTGACTTTGTTTGCCTCTTAAAGAGCTCTGAGAATTTTAAAAGTTTGCTTTCCTTTTAGAATAATATTTTCAGTAAAAGGAATATCCATACGCTTTATGCTGACAGTATTTTACAATTATCTGTTGGAGAAAGAAAAGTGAAATCCAGTTGTCGAAACAGCAAATTCTGATGTGTGTACTGTTAATGTTAAAAATTCTGATTTTAACAGCAAGAGATAATTATTTAGAGGTAATGAAATTATTTTTAGTTTGCAACACTGCTGCTTCTCAGGTTCACGTGAATTTGCTAAATGTCAAATTTTAAATACTTTTTTGGCTAAAAATTGAAACAGATTTTCTGAATTGAATATGCCTTATTTGGCTTGCTCTTCCTAAAATCATGTTGTAAGGATCCTAAGTTTTACTAACGTTTATTTTATTTTAAAACTGTACTATCACTTCTTGTTTTCTACTTCCGGCCAGAATTAAATGCTTTAACTTGTTTATGCAAATTGTCTTGCTAACGCCCAAATACTTAAGTTGTGGCTTTTTGCCAAGCGGGAGAGAGAAGGAGTTTTAGGAAGCAGCCGCTTGCCACTGCAGTTTTACGAGTTTTCACTCGGTTGCCTTTAAGGCCAGAGGTTTAGCCTTCTTGATATTTGCAAACGCACTGTAGTTTCAGTAGCTTGGCGTACTACATACGTACCTTTTTTTAAATAAAGACCAGTCTTAGTGTTAGGCATTTGTATACTAATTCAAAGTTAGCATTTAGTTAGAGTTTTAGTTAGTAGTTTTATATTCTTACGTTCAGACCACAAGTGGTAGGTCTCTGTATTCCGAAGTTCGGAAGTGCCTGTACAGCATTGAAAATAATGGGTTTCGTAAACCCTTCCTGCTTGTGTCGTCTGTTATACACAAATCTTGAATATAGCTTGAGTAAACTCCCTGTTCTTGTTCAGGGCATTTCATGTTTCCAAAGCAAATCAAGAGAAACACAAGTCCTGACAATGTTTACCTCCTATATTCGAATAGATAATTCTAGCATTCTGAAACTAATTGCCTAATTCTTTGTCTCGTGTGACGGTATGGTTATTTTCTGAATAAGAAGCAGTGATGTTATGCAGATGACATAAGAAACATTATTCAGAAATTGAGTTCCCATGTTTTAACTTTTTAATTTTTAATTTTAGCTTGCATCGAAATTAATTTTTAATTGCCTTTTACTCAAAATACGGAAAGAAAATTAGACCGTTGTATACCAATAGCTTTTTTGCCTTTGACTGAGACTAAAGTTCAACAGTGTGATAATTAATCAACTGATTATTTTTCTGCTAAAAAGTAATTATTTCATCGCTATTTGATGTTATGCTGAAATGGAAATTACATATATATATCTGTGTTTTTCCCATTTTCTGGACTTTTAATCTTTCAAGAGCATGATCTAGTTTTTAATCTGTACTTAAATGGTTATATTGGACATTTCAATTATTTCTCCTATGACTATAGCTCGCTAAGGTATTTCTGTTTCATATCTCTCTCTCTTAAATTGAACTCTGCCTTACCATGACACATTAGGGTAGATGACATGGATTCTTAAAATTGCATGCCAAACAGAAAACAGCGTGAAATTTTATTACTAAGATTTGTATGGAAATGTTAGTTCATCCTTACACAAGATGCCTTCGAATGATAACAAACACTTAAATGATTTGTTTACATAGTGGAATATGTAGAAGTAAGCAAAGGATAGCTAAATGGAGGGTTCCTGGAGGACATTATAAAAGAAACAGGTTTGTGCTCATATTACACATGAGGAAATCCCGTGTGAAATCCATTGTAACATGAAATAGGGGGTCAGTGGACCAACTGTATTCCTGTTTTGATGGCATGAAACCTGGATGATATTCACACCGATTCAAGCCCGTGTTAAACTATGCCCACGTTCAAAGAGTAGGACAGTTCATGCTTATATTCGTGGAATCTGAAAAGTAAAATATGTAAGATTATTTCACTGCACATCATCTTAAAACTATTGAACGTTGGAGTGTGAGAATAGGATGAATGTAAATTCTTACTGAAAACCATTTATGCGAGAACAAGGTGGACGGAAATTACATTCTTACTGAAAACCATTCATAACCTTTTTATTCCTTAATCAATTTTCACAAAACAAAAAGCATTTTGTTCCTTACAGTAGAATATGACGCGGTCGCTCCACAAAAATCAAGCACAGAGGAAAATATGCAAGGGGTTCAAATATGTTTATCTGAAGTTTTCAGAAATCACAAAGATGAGCATATTGCGAAAGCACGATGCACAATCTGCATAATGCATTCGATGCATAATCTGAAATGTTTGAAAGAACTGAGCTAATTCGTTTCAACAAATTAGCTCAGTTCTTTCAAACATATCGCTGAAATATCTTCGCAACTCTGCGGCAAGCATCAACTCAGCTGTTTATGAAAAATGATGGTTATTAGGAGCGTTTAAGTTGTAGTAACAAAATGCGTTTTGTTTCATTAAAGTTGGTTAAGGGTTTAAAGATTTATAAAAAAATGCTTTTGTTTCATTAAAATTGATTAAGGGTTTAAAGATTTATAAAAACATTTCTACGGGGATTTAAGTTCCACAAACCCTCTGCAAAAGCAGAATATCGATATGATATGTAGCCTGAATAAAATCACTTGATCTCGGCGGCCGTTTCGATTATCATGTATCTCTTGGTCAAATGAATTCAATTCCCCGATTATGTCGGTTTTAAAAAACCTACTATTATGTTAATGATGATGTGAAACGACTGATAAAATGTTTTCCTACATACATTGTAGATATGATTGTGATAATTTTTCTGTTCCTTGTATAAAAAATTATTGAAAATTTTCCTAAAATTTATAATATCCCGTTTTTCCTTAAATAATTGATTGAACTTTCATTCAATCTTAAGAAATAGACTGTAATGGAAACACGTGACATACAGGGGATTAACGTCTTCAACAGAAATTCCCATCCGATCAGCTATATCTTCTACTGTCTCATTCCCTTCAGAAATGATACCAACTGCTTTAGCTATCGCCTTGGCAGTGATTGGATGATCCCCAGTCACCATGATAACCTGTGAAAAGATAATATAATTTATACCTCGTGATGATTAAAACATTTTACAAGTAATATTAAACAAAAGTATTTAATTTCATACTCATTCAGACATGCAAATATTTACGCTCTGTTAAAAGATCAAATACAATTATATCAATTTTTCTTTACTTTTGGTTGAGAGATATAGAACTAAATTTTAAATTGGAAAGAATAGAAATTTTGCAATAATTTGAGGGATGGTTATAACAAGACACTGAAATGTTAAAGACAAAATAAAATGCAGAATAACTTTGCGCTCTTAGCTGGGTAATTGATTCACTGATGTAGTAGCTTATCAATCCTTTAAGTCCCGCTAGTGGATTTTATTTATATATCATAATATAATTTATGTATTTCAAATCTTGAGAAAGCCTATGTACTGTGACCGTCATTGTCAAAGCGAGAGAACCTCGGGAAGTCAAGGTCATTTAACAACTGGCGATGCGACAAATGCAGCATAGTATGTCCTTATAATACTTGGTTTACAGCATTGAAATAGCTGCCTGAGAAGCAGAACTTTAATAATTTTATTTGCAAAACTTTTCCTAGAGTTAAAATATTTACTAGAATTCATTTTTCATTTTAAAGTCCTAACATTCAAGAACATCCTGAGAGAACGGAGGTAACTGCTCACTCTTTACGCGGTCTATAGCAAACGCTGTGTTATAAAACACTGCTATCGTATTTTTTATTCCCTCAGAGTCACAGTTTCACACCACCACATATCTTTGTTGTTCTGATGATGCAAAATAGCTAGGTTTGATTTTCATCAGTAGGATAACTCACTATTACACGTATTAAGCATTCCCTATCTGAACTCGAGAAAAAAAATGACGTCAGATGACAATAGTTAATACGACTAATTGGCATCAATATAGCCAATCATGCTTTTCTATAGCGAATATAGCCAAAGATATTTGTTATATAAATCTCTTTGGGCATTCTTTGTGTAAACCATACACAAATACTCAGATTAGTTGCTGTCATCCGTAAAGGTAGCAACATTACTGTGCTAGGTTCCATATACCTCTATTCCAAGTGCTTAGAGAAAACTTGTTTACATTAGTCCGGTGCCCCTATCCAATGATCACTGATTATGCCAGCGACCTTGATGCAGCTTAAATAGTATAACATCTCTGCTGCCAACATAAGCTACAATAATCACAATTATGTCCGTAATACGCATGGAGTTAATTTAATGGAATTTCCAACATACACACACAAATACGCGTACTTCTTATATATACACGATATTTTGGATGGTGCAATAAGAGAACCGATTACGTCGCAGTCGTGGTACAGAGCAAGTAGATATCTTGAAACTGTTGCGTAGATGGAATGTGTGTGTGTGTGATTATGGCAAAGTCTCGAGGACTATCTGCCTAAGGGGAGAGTTGCCTTCGTCGAGGACTTTCCAAGGGAAACTGGCTCGTATACACGTTACACATGAAGAAAACCAGCGTAGACGGAATGACGATCATTTCTGAGAAGATCACGAATAGCTAGATAATCATGGCCGCTGGTGGGCCCAAATTAAAAGAGGAATTAAGGGGCTATTGCTAATTTAAAGTATAATTCATAGTTACATATTTTTAATTACATATATGTGTAAAAGAAACAAAAGGGAAAGAAGAAAAAAAATGCCTTATGATGGCCGGAAGTTTGCGTCACTCCACTGCTATTGTGCAAAAACAAGAGAGAGCTGTAATGCATTCTTGAAAGATATTCTAATACAGTGCCGCAAAATAATATTGACTCTGAAAATGGGTATAATTCTGACTTTAAATATACCCTTGCTAGTGAACAGGAGAACTACACTTTACAGAAAAGGCTGAAGATGGCCACCGTTGATGTCAGTGTAACGCTGTGAGCGATTTTTTAAACTGCGAGACAAGCGTAGCAACTCTTCCAGAGGGTTTGCATTTTCATTTTTCTCCTGCAGCTTTTCCTATACGCTTTGCATAACACTCAATAATAAGCAAGCGCTGTTTTAACTCTTTGAAACCCGAAGTTTTTGCTAACCTGTATGCATAAAATACCGAACCGCCCAAAAAGGTTTTCGAGAGTCACAGCAATTTCCTCCCCTCCCCATCCATTAACGCATAAAGAAGAGGGAAGATTTCAAATGTCATCCTGTCGACTTCCTAATAAATAAAGATAAGAAACCATAAATAAATTTTAGGGCAAGCTACAACGCATTTGGGGAACTGCATCTGCTACTGCATACCTTAGGGAAGGAAAAAAAACGACATCGGAATTTCGACCATTTTGGGCGGTTGTGGTCGTTTGAATGAAAGGCCGTCTGGGGCGTTATGGTCTTCAAAACATTAAAGAGATAATGTGAGCACCGCTTTGTAACCAGTAATTGTGTTGCATTCAGCTGTTCACTAAACACGTCTGCATTTCCCTTTTTTTCCTACTCCTCCCTAAACGTGTCTAAACCTCTCATTCAAATAACTGGTTGCTGTCGCGTGTTTATGAATGCTACTCTAACACCCAATTGTATTTGTCCGAATTTCTAATGATCTCTGTTCTGTTTAGAGTGCATGAATTGATGCCAGCTTTCACAAAACCTGGTTCACAGAACCCAAGATAATACTTCATTTCAGATTATAATATAAACAAATAAGAGCTATAAAAGGAAAATAATTAACACAAAGTATCAATGACGAATTTCTTAACTGAATTTGACCATTAGAGAACATTTATGTATAAAGAAGTCCTTCTGACATGACGTATCTCCGGCACACCTAGTTTAAAAATGCAATAAATCTCTTTACAATGATCTGGATTTCCAGACATGTTGGTAGCAAATCAATATTTTCCTTTGCGTCTTTCTTTCCTTTCAAGAAAAATAACTATTTGGAAAATTAGCTTCATAGGGGAAAACAGCAAATTTTATGTGAAGTATTGGAAAGCTAGAAATTGAATTATTAATACTCGTAGGGTGCTGAAACGCATATATATGTCTTATCAGTTCTTGTTTATTTGTTTAAGAATAAAATAAACAAAAGCATCCTTAGCCATATTTCAGTTTTCTCCATAATATTATAGATGATGTTTTAACTTCAAGATAATTTCTTCGAATTTCAGTTTCTGAATGTCAAGAATTGTACTGCAAATAGAAATTCAAGATTATCAAATTTTTTTTTTTTTCCGATTAAAAGAACTATATTTTGGGGACAGGCGAAACTCAAACATAAAACGATCTTAATTTCCGCATTTTAAAATTACTTTTACAAAATTGCTAATATTTAATTTGGAGATTATACAAATAATACAAATAAAACATTCGATAGGACAAGACTGATTGCAAAAAATATTAACGTCAATTCTTTTTCATACTTTATGGTAAAAAAGCACGTTTATTAGGACGAGCACAAATCATTCTTCAATACCGAAGTACATAATATATGGAGGTAGAAATGCATATTAGCAGTTGCAATAATAGAGAAAGTATCAACAGTTAAATATGTTAGACTGCGTGGATGACAAGTTAAAGATCTTTTGCATCGCAGAATGACAAAATTTGTTAGGCTTTTGGTGGGTAAATACCTTAACAATGTGATGGAAAATGCAATAAAGAAGCAAAAGAGAGGAAACGAAGCTACCAACATTTCCGATTAATAGACATGTAAGGTTATTATTTGAAACTAATAATTTATTATGAATTAGATCTATACTTTAATATCTCCTTTTCGTATTACTCACCAGAATACAAATGCATTAGCTAGTATTAAACTAAGGTTTTTTAATTGTAAAACAGAGCTTGTTTCTGGCCTGTGAATGCACGTTACGTTTAGCTCCTGCCATTTGTATTTATTCTGCTTTGCGTTATATCGCTGCCGACACTTCATTTTGATTCTGAGTGTCTGAGCCAGCTTCGAGTACATTTAAGGTGAGTTGTCTTTGAATACTTTTTCATGTTTAAATTGAATTTGATTGCTTCTATTTAGTTGTCTGATCACGAGCTGTGGTTGATATTTAGCACAAAAACGTGCATTTATTTTGTAGTCATTCTCCCCTTTATCTATTAACTGAGTGTTGAAGAACCTAGTGAACAGTTAAGGGTATAATCGCTTAAGTTCAGTAACAGAAAGGTAAACCTCAAGAAGGGTTAATTACCTATTATTGCTCGAAATAAAGATATACAGCCGGCCTCTATCTCAGGGAGTACAGAAAAGCATCCACTTGGTGTTAAACTCAAATCTGCAAGAAATAAAAACTAACTAATGGCTAACTAAAGAGATTTAGCCGAAGCTAACAGAAATCTATCCTAGTTCACCCCTAAATCTCGAATGATCTAGCAAAGCTATCAAGGGCACGTAATACGGCCAAGCTTAGTAACAACTTAGAGAGACGTAGCCAAATGCCAAACACGCGCTATTCAGGAAACTAAATTCTCTCTTTCAAAGTAAGTGGAACCTTCGACTTAAATACCTCTTCTTCTCATTTGCAACAAACGCGATTCTAAAAACTCATTCTGCTAAGGAATTGTAAAGCTGAAGCTAGGAGAAATGGGAAAGGCGCATAAACTTAAAAATAACTGTTATAAAACTTAGGATAAACCTTACAATGTTCATGTTCTTTCTCTTTAAATTAAAAATGTTACTGAAACTTTCTCACGACTTACGGTTATTCCAGACATAGCGATAATTCGATTCATGTCTGTTAACTTTTACTAGATCAAGTAAAACCCCATAGGACTTATTCAGATTGCTATCAGACAATTATTTATCACAGTGCAGAAATTGCTGATAATCATAAGGAGTTTTCCGTAGTAAAATGCAATAAAGTGCTCAATTTACTGCATTTTAAGAAAGATAAAAAGAGTAAATGCTTAAGGAGAATGCTTTGGAATTCTGCTTAAGCTGTTGAAAAAAAGATAACATGTTTAAAAAGTTAAACATCATTCGATAGGAGGTTACAAACTTAAAAGATATTTAAGAAATTCTGGATTACTTATAAACTGATAATGCAATTTGCGCATCTGAAGAACTTTCAAATGACTTCAGCCTAAAACTTTAAAAGGGATCAAAATTTACCTTGATGTAGTTTTATATTAAATTTTCAACGTACTTCGGGAAACTATGTGTCTGGGAATTAATTGAGTCTTTATAGTTTAATTTAATGCCGTAAAAAGGCTGAATTTTGTTTCGTTTTTGAAGTATATCTAGCTATAAGCCTAATCAACAGTTCTTAAAATAAATTCTACTTCTATGCTGTTAGAAAGGATTTTTTTCCTCCTCCCAGCATGCCTTTGTGGTGTAACGGTAGCGTACACTCGGTGCGTATTCGAGAAGTCCATGTTCGAGCCCTGGAGATGGCACTGCACATTTCTCACATCTCCTCTTTCAGAATAACCCAATGACACACTGTTCTAAAATTAAAAACCAAGTTCAAGGCAATAGCCTATTAAGTAGTGATAGAACGAGATTCCTTAAACCTGCATAAATAAATGATTTAAATAAATAAATTGCTTAAATAAATAAATGATTTTCTAGGTCAAAACTGGGAAATTCGCATTTCTTTTAGTGGCAGTTATCGATGGTTGTCTACCTACTAGAAAATAATATTTAATAGCATCTTTCGAATACAGAAGGATACGTAGGCAAACAGTTAATGTGAATTTATCATAATTTACATTAGACACTGAGACAAGCACGAAAATACAATCTAGCCAACTCGTTCAGCTGTAAAGAATGGAATCCTATAAGACTCAATATTTTTTTTACTTTAATCACTAAACCATGCATGCTTTCATCTCACTAACTGAGTCCTTTTCTACATGTATTAATATCCTTGCTAATTTCTGTTAAAATAACTTTCAGTTTTACTAACTAATTATGATTAGATTGATCTACAATTAAGTTTATTTTGTTAATTAAAATTTCCTTTAACGAGAACTGATATGGTTTGACTTTTTCCAGGATTAATTCAAAGCCATCAGGAAGCACAAGAAAACCGAATTTCAATTCAATACGTATGATTGCTCGTATAGCGGAAGCTAGGAAGGCCACAAACGTGCTTAAGTACTGCACAAAATTATCTTCGTATAAGAACAGTTTTATTAACGATGCTCGAAGAGACCTAAGGAAAAGCCATGCTGCATATTTTGCCAAGGGGACCATGCAAGCAGTTTCCGTGGTTGCGCGGAATACAAGAAGAAGTTTGAAGAAAGAGGACTGCCTAGGACTCAGAGGAAACCACCCCCAGATGTCACACAAGAAAATTTTTCTGAGCTAGTAACGGCAGACCCTCGGCCGAGCAGAGCTGCGAGCAAAGCCAGCTTCAGTGAAAAGTTGAGAAATAAGCCTACAACGTCGCCAAACATCCTGGAAGGACTCCTATCCTGGTTTGTCAATCCTATTCAAGAACTGTTTAAAGTCTTCTCCGAAATTTTTAGCTTCCTTCCAAATATCAACCTAGCTGAGATGATTTGCTCAAAACCGTACAGAAAATTATGCAGATGACCACCTGTGAGTAATTCCATTTGCTTTTATCTTCATGCAAGATTAATGTTTACATCTTAAATTACTTTTCTTTTCATTTTAGTTCTCGGATAATAATCAGGTTATTTTGTTTCCATGATTCGAAAAGTTCTTTTTGCTCTACAAAGAGTAGGGTCTCGGAACCCAGGTACCCTGGTGTTAGGGCCCCATTCTACTGTATCGCATTTTACGATTATTATTATTACAGACCACGTATTAACGTGGTCTGTAACAGAAAGCTGATTAAGATTTTCTATATTACACCTTAAATTTGACCCTGGGATGATTAAAAAGCATCATTTTAAATATTCACTGACATAGACTGAAAAACATAGTTTTTGGTTACGTCATCGATTAGGCGAAAAGAATTTAGATTAAAGATACATGAAGTACATCGTTATTGACATTTAAAGCAGTGACGTCATTTGAAAGCAGACAAATGGTAGACTCGGTTAATGGGTCATTCAGACTAATCGATAGTTCCGAATCTACACTTTATTCCTAGCCACAGACTTAAATGCCGGGAAATTAATGGCTATTACAGGCTAGGAAAATAGCTTTTTTTGATAAAAATAATAGACTTTATTATGGTGGTGAAGTTTATTCAACATCATCCCGTCGTCGGCTTTTTGAAATCAGCAGAAAGTGTTTAAAATGCTCTATAAGTGTTCTGATTGGCATGGAATAGCATAGAATTTTTTTTCAGTTGAAATAATACTGCTTTCGGTCTAAGAAACGTAGTATTATTCAGAGCAAAATCTGTATTATAAAGCAAATATTACTGAAACTATAAAAATAGCCCAGGGGAAACGACGATATGCTAGTTTATTACAATAAAATAAATTTTTTTTTTGTTAACGTTGGCAAACAGATTTCATGACTTGATGCACCGGAGAGCTACCTACAATTTGAGGTAAAATTCCAAAATTTACAATTTGAGGTAAAATTCCAAAAGCTAAAGTTTGCAGAATTAAGGTGTAAGGTATTTCTCCCGCCTTTCCTAGCGTGCCTCCGTGGTGTAGTGGTTCTGCACGCTGGGCCGGTATTCCAGAGGTCCGTGGTTCGATTCCCGGCGAAGGCGGTTGCAAATTTTTCATCTCTCCGGCTTTTCCAATTAACCTAATGTCTCTACAGTGGCACCCGAACTAAAAGGGTTGCGGATGATGACTCTCCACAGCCAGGATTTGGCGGCCGAGTCTCCTAAAAACCCCAGTCGCCCTTTAAAAGGGGGAGTATGTAAGGTATTTCTCCTGCCTTTCCTAGCGTGCCTTCGTGTTGTAATGATCAGCACACTGAGCTGGTATTTCAGAAGTCCGTGGTTCAATTCCCGGCGAAGGCGTTGCTAATTTTTCATCTCTCCGGCTTCAAAAAAAAAAAAAAAAAAAATCCTAATGTCTCTACAAAGGAAACAAAGAAATATTTCTATCCAGTTCTTTTTTTAATGTGTGTATGTATGCATGTGTGCATTCAACTGGATACATTTAATTGTATTCTTCAAAGTTACGCCTGTGTTAAAAGACACTCGGCGACTTAAGTGCAGTTAATATTCGCCTGATATTTTATCAAAGTAAAATATTTGTAATATAACAACTAAGATGAGTTTGGAAGTAAGAAATTTCTTCCACGCTTAATTAAGACTCTTTGTACGCTGTCTTGCATTAGAAACATCTAACAGTTAGTTTTTTACAAATTCCTGCTTTTTGGCACTGAAGAAATCAGCTGTACATCTAATTAATAATTTACTTTTTTCTGCGCCACACAGCCCCAACTATTAGTATTTCACCGCTTTGACCACCCGGCCATGAACATCCTTAAAGTATAAATATTGCAAACTAGGTTGCATATTTACATTTTAATAACAGTTTTATAACTGAAGCTTTGATTGTTACTTTATAAAAAGCCATAGAAAGCGCATTTTCTCTATCTGAAGTATAGAAGAAAACTACATTCTTCCAAAAAACGAATTAAGAATGTAAGAGAATGTCTTTTTTACAGACCTGCTGTCTAAGAATTGTCGTGTAATATGTTCAGGAATTTTCAACAGCTCAGTTCTATGTATTTCATCTTCAAGTAATGTTCATCTAAGATCATTTTATTTTCACGTATAATTCAGCTTGAGTTCTTGTATAAAACAGAGAATTCCTAAAACCTTCTCAAGATTTTTTATTTTTTTAGTTTGCTTTAATTTCCGCGACTACTGAGCAGTTAATAACAGACTACTCCTTTCTTTACGACGGGTCAGGGGAATTCTAGAGAAAAAGCTTTTCATTATACCATCTTCTTCCCCACAGGAGTACTTCATGGTCCTCAAATTACTCTTCTTTGCAAACTATGCACCAACTTCTTTCTGGTTATTGATTCTGTTCAAACTCTAGGGATGTTATTACCCAGGAAGAAATAGTGTGAATTTATGAGGGTACTTTCTTTTCTTTCAATTATAGTGACCGTATATGTCTTTAATTGAAAATACATCGGTGTATAATAAATCTAAGATAATAATCTTTACCTAATGCATCACTAAAAGATGTATAAATTCTATAGTGAGATAGTTAGAATAGAATTTGCTTCCGATAAATACCATAATGCTGTCAACTATAATGCTTCTTGACTTAAAACAATAGCATTAACACTTTAAATCCAAATAACTTAAAAAATAATACAATAACTAGTTTTGGATTAATTTTTATAGTCATATTTTTAAATCAAATTTATAACAATATAGTTTATTTAAATTTACGAAAAACTTTTAAAATATAATTCAAATGATATTTTAAAATGAAAAACTCATGAATACTGCTTACTTTTATTTATATTATAAGTAAGGCGTATGTAAGGCCTAACAGGCATCTATAACCTTAAAGGAATTATAATTTAGAAAAAATATATAAATAAATAAAAAATAAAATAAAGCTCAATATTTAGTTGTTTACTTTATTAAATATTTCTTTCAATGTAATTTGTTTAACCCTTTGAAGGCTAAAACGCCACAGACGGCCTTTTATTCAAACGATCACAACCGCCCGAAACGGCCCTGATTATGATGTTGTTTCTTTCTCTCCCTCTAAGGTATGCAGTAGCAGGTGCAGTTTGCCTAAATGCATTGTATCAGTTTATTGCAGACAGCTTTTCGTAAAAGGCTAATGGAAGCTTCTTTGTTAGGAAAGAGAAAGAATGTCATTTGGAATCTTCACACCTCTTTCTGTGTTAATGGATGGGGAGGGGAGGAAACAGACTTGACGGGTAATGGACGGGGACGGGCGTTTCAGTATTTTAAGTATACATGTTAGCGAAGGCTTCGGTTTTCTAAGGGTTTAGTTGCTTCGTTTTTTTGCGCCAGTAATTTCTCCTTAATTCTGTAGATACACCAAACTTCTTATTCAGTTACGACGTTCCACTGTTCAAGCCCTATAATTGTGTGTCAAGAATTCCCACAAAATTGTCAATCGAATGCTTTTTCAGCAATCTGTCACTTTCTTCACGATCGGTAGCGATACTTTCTGGATTTAGAACCGTACTATATTTCACCATCCGTTAATTGACTGACAACTGGGGCAATGAAACCTTCTGTTATATCATCTTGATTTATTACCACTCCTATGTAATTTTTCACAAATTCCATTAACTGGAAAATTTCCCGTTTTGTTTGCGATATTTGAACACCTTCAAATTCGTGGTTATCATCATAAAGCTACCTAAGGTCTCCTTACACTACTGGCGGTGTATCATGAGATTGGTGACCAAAAACAAGTTGTCCGCTAAATTTTGTCTTGCTTCTGTTGCACGCTAACGAAGTTAAAACCTGAATTATATAATTATATTAGTAAAGTTATTTATCATACTACTTACGCTTATTTCCCGTATAAGCTTAAGATTTATTTGAGTTCAAAATTAATAAATTCCCACATATAGTTAAAGGCTTACCCAGAGATGGCGGACTTATCCTAGACACTTTGCGGCAGTCTCTATGGACCCTAAATTCTGCTGCCAAATGCCTAATTCTAAATATTCTCTGGCTCTTTATTTTGAATCTCTGTACCTTCCCTAAATTCTAAAGATTTTCCCATCCCTTAATTTTGTTGCTCAGCGCTTCTTTAAATTCTAAAAGCTTCGCGTATCCTAAATTCTGCCGCACCAGCTAGCCGCTCCGCAGGCACCGGTGTTGGGCTTATTTGAATAACAAATAAGTTATTATCAATTCAAACAGCACTAATGTAATCTTTTGGCCTACGAGTATCATTTACTTAAATTTGCTTTATTCAAATGGGAAGAAATCTACGTTAAATATCGCCTCGTCATACACTCAACGCTTCGCAACGAAGTTAGCTGTGGTCTGTAATCATCGCAAAAGCGTAATGGCAACATAAAAGGTTACCATGCTTTTTGGTATTCAGTCCTTATATTATTTAAAAAAAAAAAAAAAAGTTGAGTTATCGCTGCGTGAGTCATTTCTCAAGCTGGCTGTGTGTTGATAGCCAAACGGTGATGAAAGCAGGAAATAAAATAAATGACTTGCCAGGTTGGTATGTCATATATAAACTATTCAATAGGTGTAAAATCAATGATCAGATCAATGTTTCGATAGAATACGGTATTCGCATTATAATCGGAAAAAAAACTGCTTTAAAAGAAAATATTTCACATTTCATTGCTTTACTCTGAGCCGCCTTAGCCAGAGCTGTTACTCATTTAGCACCACCCAGGAGGCACGTGTGAATTAAGGATATCACGGACGTGAGTAACATTGCCTCCCAAGATAGCAAACCACTCCCTCCAGAGTCACTTAAAAAGCGTATGTTTGAGAAAATAATGGATACTCTTAAATCTGAACAGGCAGCAAAATCAACAGCCAAATCTTAGGCTAACACTGAAGACACATGGAAACAGTTTTGTCAAAAACTCCATAAAGAGGCTGTGGCAAACTTCAGACTGCAAACAGGTCATAATGGCATGGCATATCATCTTAATAAAATTGGCATGTTTCCATCTAG